GAAGTGTTAATACATCACATCTTATTTATTTTAGCCGATCAGTATATTTTCTGTATTTAATTATAAAAATTAACTTAGTTTTTAAAATTTATTTGTGAATACATTTTTTCCATTTGGTACTATGGTTGGTTGCCTACCTAGCTGAATATATAATGTCGGCTTATCCTAAGGCTGTCCACGTACTTAATTTACTGAAATGTTCATTTTAAGTAACATGCTCACTGTGTATAGGAATTTGTATTTTGAAGGTACTTGATCTATCTACAAAGAAAAATTAATTAGGAATTACTTTATTATAAAATGCTCCGAGAAGTCTTGTTTTTTTTTTTAAAAAAAATTAGACTTCTGTGCATGGAAGTAATTAAGGTACATCATTATTGTAGTTTTAAAGTTGTACATGATCAAACTTTTGTTTTTACTGTATGTTTTCACTGAATGATCTATTCCCCATCCCAAGGCAAGCATGAATAAAATTGGGTTAAATGCAGCATTTGGCATCACAGTCTCTTAGAATTTAAATTTTTCCTTTTGGCCTCAGTGTGGTCAAAAAATAAAATTTTTATGCTGGATAGAGACACCTTACATTATTGCTCTGAGCTCAAGATTTTGATCTGTTTGATCTGAGAGCCTAATTTTTAGAAATATTTATTTCTTTTTATTTTAGATTGTTAACTTCTCAGTTAATTATTTTGTCATTGTACACAATTGTTAGGCAAATCTATTTTATATTTCTAAAAGGTATCAGGATTGTTGGTTACCATGGAGCTATTAAAATTTTAGAAACTATTAATTTGAAAGTTCTTGAAGACTTTCAGAGATCTTAGCTTCAATGCCATAAGTGGTGAGTTTTATCTTAACGCCAGTAGAAAAGTCAGCAAATTCAAAGTAGGTAGAAAAAAGAATAGAGAGATAGAGAACTTGTAATGCTGTCCATTTTAACTCTGCAGTTGCAGTTTTTTTGAATAAAGACCATTTGAACTCTGAATTTTCCTTGATAGAATTTGCCTATCAGTTTGAAAATGTACACAAGAACAGGCCATAATATGTAGCTGGCTGGAGTCCCAGAAAACCTGGCATGCCTTAATGTTTGTGAATCCCATTCTGTTTCTTATTAATCTCTCAAGAGCAAAGAAAATCCAAAAATTATGTCAGGGAACATCAGGAATTTAGATCAGTGTTTTAGATGATGGTATTTGCCCTGTGGCTTTTAATTAGCTGTCCTGCACCCACCATCCAGAATGTTTATTTTTACTCTCGGAAGATTTTTCAGAAACAAGTAAGGGAAAATGTCAAACAAAAGCAAGAAACCCCAGATATTAAACTAGGTATGCAACCTAGAACAAGAGTAAATTCACCAGAAGATATGCCTCACAGACAGAATGTAAATTCTGTGGAAACCAAGGTACCCAATCCAGAAAGACATTTGTCTTTATACCAGAAAAGATAAAAAGTATTTTTTTATTCCAGGAATGATATATATTTTTTATTAAGATAGCCTTATCTGAACCAGATCCAAATAATATTTTTAAAGTCTCTACCAAAAGAAGAGAGGCTCACCCTGAGAGAAAGCTCACCAGGGCAGAAAAGGTGAGCCATGAAAGCGCAGAGCTCAAAGGGCTGAAGTGAGTATCACACACTGGTTCCAAGAATCACTGATTTTTTTCAGTAGTGATCTTTTTCAGATCCCACTTTTGACACCATATATGTCACCCTAAATAATAAATAGAGAGAGGCTCTCTAAAAGAAAAGATACTTATTTGGGGATAGAGCATTGCAATGGGACTATGCCCACCATAGTAAACTATGTGCATATTCAGAGAGGTAGAGAAATATAAAGGTTTGTAAAAGAAAAAATTAGGGCTACATAGTAGTTTTAAGTAATTTTCCTTGGTTACAAAGATCAATAACAAGGTGACACCAATCCAAAGCTGGATAGGCAATTGTTGGGTAGATGGCCTTGTAGAGTACTTTTTGTATAAGGTGGTAATGACCTTCATGTAAGGCTATGGTGTTTGTAGAATCTTTTTGTTATAAGGCATAAAAATGTGAGAACCCTCTCTTTACGGCCTTTCCCAGCTCTATTTATCAGAATTTTCTTAACATTAGTGACTGTTTTAATTCTGACAATTTTCATGCATGAAAAATTTCTCTGTAGCACGTGATGATGTTTGATAGCATCTTACCCAGAGCAGAACATCTTCCAAAATTGGAGTCAATCGTCTCAAACCCTGCTGCTGCCTTATCAAATTAGTTTATGTAATAGCCTAAATCCTTTGTTGTCGTTTCGACAATATTCATAGTATCTTCACGAGGAGTAGATTCCACTTCAAGAAACCACTTTAGTTGTTCATCCATAAGCAGCAACTCCTCCTCAAGACCACAGCAACTCTGTCACATCTTCAGGCTCCGTTTTTTTTTTTTTTAGACGGAGTTCGCTCTTGTTGCCCAAGCTGGAGTGCAACGGTGTGATCTTGGCTCACTGCAACCTCCACCTCCTCGGTTCAAGTGATTCTCCTGCCTCAGCCTCCCAAGTAGCTGGAATTACAGGCATGCACCACTATGCCTGGCTAATTTTTTTGTATTATGACATCTGCAATTACTTCCTCCATTAAAATATGAAACCCCTCAAAGTCATTCATGAGGGCTGAAATCAATTTCTTCCAAACTCTCATTAATATTGATATTTTGACCTCCTCCCATGAATCACAAATGTTCTTAATGGCATCTAGAATGGCAAATCCTTTCCAGAGAGTTTTCAATTCACTTCACCCGGATTCATCAGAGAAATCAGAGAAATCATCAGAGAAATCTTTGGCAGCTTTGGACTTAAAAATGTATATCTTGGCTGGGTGTGGTGGCTCACGCCTGTAATCCCAGCACTTTGGGAGGCCAAGGCAGGTGGATCAAGAAGTCAGGAGACTGAGACCATCCTGGCCAACATGGTGAAACCTGGTCTTGACTAAAAATAAAAAAATCAGCCGGAGGTGGTGGTGTGCACCTGTAGTCCCAGCTACTCAGGAGGCAGAGGCAGGAGGATTGCTTGAACCTGGGAGGCGGAGGTTGCAGTGAGCTGAGATCACACAACCGCACTCCAGCCTGGGTGACAGAACAAGACTCTGTCTCAAAAAAAAAACAAAAAGTAGAGACGAGAGCTTCCTTTTTTATTCTTGATTTTATGGGGAATATGACAATACTTAAAAGGAAAAACAAACATAACTTTGGAGTCAGAAAGTCTGGGCTGAGTCCTTTCTTTGAGCAACTTTTAGAAATTTGAATTTAGAATGCTAGCTTCTTTGCATCTGTTTCTGAATTTATCAAATGCAGTTAGCGGTATACTATCTGATCTAGCTGCTTTGTCCTATGTATCCTTCAGAAATATCCTCAAATGTGGTGACGTTTTGACAGAGCTGGTGGATTCACCAGTATGTGGGAGTGCCCCTATTTTTATTCCACACTTCAGCCTGCCAGTTTAAATCTTTCCCAGTTCAGCTCCAAAGCAGCCCCTCTCCCACCACTCAAGGCCACCCAATTCTCATTCTCACAGTTCCTCAAGGCAGAAAGGATCCTTCAACTCCATCACCCTTCATCAGCATATATGTATGTTTTAATATATACATATATTTTAAATGGAGATGGGGTCTCACTATGTTGGCCAGGCTGATCTAGAACTCCTGGGCTCAAGTGATCCTCCTGCCTCCACTTCCCAAAGTGCTGGAGTATAGGCTTGAGCCACCACACCAGCCCATCAGCACATCTTTAATTGCACTTTTCACAGTCTTCCTGAAGTAATAAATTTTCATAAACTACTTTTTCTTTTAGACTGGCTTTGCTGAAGGGAGCGAAGACTCCTGTCTTCCATTTCAGTCCTGTCTTACTAGACACTAAATACAGGTAAATTACAGAATGCATTCAATCAGCATCAAGCCCCTTGTAGTCTTATAGTAGCTGGTATCCCTCCTCTCTATAAAATAATATTTTGTTTAAAAAATGCTGGCTGCAGTAGAGTATGCTTTTATTAAGAGTTCCTGCAAATCACAGGCTTTTCCTGTCACTCTGAGAGAGGGAGGGAGGAAAGGATCGAGGGAGGGAAAATGCTTTTAAGTTCACAAAAATATGGACAACCTCAGAAACCTATAAACAGAAATATACTAACATGGTGTATTTCTTAATTTTGAAGCCCCGAAATTTTTAATTTTCCCTTCTTCCTTCTATGCGATTTTGGTTTCCAAATGTCTACATTAAGCAGGCATTTTTGTATGATTAGGGCGAAATTACTGCTGCTGCTGCTGATGCTGATGATGATAATTGCAAAAACTAGGCTGCAAACAAGCTGTGCTTCCATTTAAAAGCTCTTCCTTGCTGCCTCGGCAAACAAGGGTTATTCAATGACACTTTTTGGTTAGACTCAAATGAAAAGAGGCCGGGCGTGGTGGCTCACGCCTGCAATCCCAGGTGGGTGGATGACGAGGTCAGGAGTTCGAAACCAGCTTGGCCAAAGTGGTGAACCCTCGTCTCTACTAAAAATACAAAAATTAGCCGGGCGTGGTGCCGGGCGCCTGTAATCCCAGCTACCTGGGAGGCTGAGCCACGAGAATTGTTTGAACCTGGGAGGCGGAGGTTGCGGTGAGCCAAGATCGCGCCAGTGCCCTCCAGCCTGGGCGACAGAGCAGCCAGATTCCGTCTCAACAACAACAACAAAACGGTTTAATAAATGAGATCTTTGCTAAGAGTAGAATAAAAAAAAGAAAAAAAAAAAGTTTTAAATTTCCCTCTCGAAGCCCTTTGCCAGCCTGGGTTTTCCCTCCCGCCTGCTCTGCAGTTAAGGAACGGAGAGGCGGGCTGGAGGGCCGCAAGCAGCCGCGGGCCCTAACACCCCCTGTCCCGCCCCCGGCCCTGACACCCCCCTGTCCCGCCCCCGGCCCTGACGCCCCGCCCCCGCCACGTCCCGTCCCGCCCCGGCCCTGACGCCCCGCCCCCTCCACGTCCCGTCCCGCCCCGCCCCGGGCGAGGCTTATTGGCCAGTAGGCCCCGGACCTTGACCAATCGCCCGGGGCCGGTCGTCATGGTGACGGGGCACGCTAACGCTCGGGGCAGAGGGAGGCGCGCTGGCTGAACTGCTGGGCGCGATGGCGCAGAACAGGTACGGTCCCGGAGTCCGGATGGGCAACTGGAACGAGGACGCCTACCTGGAGGAGGTACGGAGGGTGTGCCAGGCGCGGCCCTGCGGCTCAGGAGCTCCAGACCCGGCCCCAGGTTCAGTCCCCTGCTGTGCGCGCCTCCAGCCTCCTCCCGCCCAGCGCACCGTGAATACCTCCAAACTCCCCCCTTCTCTAAACTCCAGCGGAAACTCACCTGCCCAACTGCAAGCCCAGGGCTCACTGGCCTCCACGCCGAGCACCCTGACTTCCCTTTCTGTGGGTTCGTTGGCTTCCTAGAGTCGAACGCTTTGACTCTCAGGCCCCTGGTCTGTGTATCCCGCTTAGTCTAGAGCCCCACCAGGTACCCCCTGGTTTTGTTTTTGTTTTTGAGACGGAGTCTCGCTCTTGCTGCCCAGGCTGGGGTGCAATGGCGCCATCTCGGCCCAGGCTGGAGTGCAGTGGCACCACCTTGGCTCACCGCAACCTCTGCCTCTCGGTTCCAGCGATCCTCCTGCCTCAGCCTCCTGAGTAGCTGGGGTTACAGATACAGACCACCATACCTGGCTAATTTTTGTATTTTAAGTAGAGACGGGGTTTCTCCATGTTGATCAGGATGGTCTCGAACTCTCGACCTCAGGTGATCCACCGCCTCGGCCTCCCAAAGTGCTGGGAGTACAGGCGTGAGTCACTGCGCCTGGTCCCCGCTGTTTTTTAGAGTCTTAGAGTCTCAGGTTGTGGACCAGGTGAGGGCACAGGCTCTAGGTAGAAATAATATCCCTCCGCACTCCTACCCTGCCGCTTGCCCTCTTAAATGACCCTGAGCATTGCTTTTATTGACGTTGCCCTCACTGCCTTGTAGTCTCCCAAGGTAGTCTTAACAAGGTTCGGAGCCATTCGTGTATGGGTCAGGTTGGGGAGGGGTGGACTTTCTAGTATTAGCCATCACACAGTCAAGGGAAACCTCAGCAGGGGAGACACGGCCTCCAAATGTCACTCAGGATAGAATCGAGCTGGAGTAATTCCTGGTGATGATTCTTTTTCTTTGTTTTGCCTTTCTCATTTTTCTAAACATTCTATAATGTAATAAAAACATTAAGGTAATGCTAAATATGTCCCATCATTCCCATTATGCTCACATTACTTCTTTGTCCTCGAATTTTGCTTTTTCAACTTGGAAGAGCTTCTGACCTAAAAGTTATTAAATACGAACATCTGTATTATTTAGGGCTACTGTTGTTGATTTTCTCTTTAACTAGGAGCTCATGAAAGACTTCTTAGAGAAGAGAGACAAGGGGAAACTCCTCATACAGAGAAGTAGAAGACTGAAAAAGAATCTTTTAAGACCGGTATCTTTAAATTCAAACATTGTTTTCAAAATTCTGTTGAACCTGGTGTGAGTATATGTTAAGCAAGAAAAAATATTCATAACTGAGTTACCATTTGGAAAATAACAGTTTTAAAAATAAAATTTGCAGTGTTTTGAATTCTTCTAAGATTTTAGAAACATAAGGGAAGTCTGCCCTAAATCATGTTTACCTGCATTTTGCAAATAAAGAAATAAGTGAGTCAATATATAAATAAGTAAAATGCCCCTTAGTTGGCAATTGAGAAATTTTTCAATGAATGTTGAACTTCTAGAAAAATGGGTGAATCCTTGTGATTTTCACCAGCTTCATTTGACTTCATTCGGGATTATTGGGAGCTTTGCCTTGGCAAACGGGAAGGGAAAGGAAGAAGGAACTAAGGGTTCCAGGGGATCCAAATGAAATCCTGAATGAAGTGGATACTAGTCTGAGAAGGAATAAAATTGCCTTAGCAGTGACTGTTGAGGAATTGCATGGTTTATGTAATAAACTACTATTAAAATTGTAGATGCAACTTTCCATAACTGAAGATGGTTATATTCATTATGGTGACAAAGTGATGCTTGTGAATCCCGATGATCCTGCTGTGGAAGCTGATATGTTTCTGGGTGGGGACCTGAGCCTGTGTATGACTCCAGATGAAATTCAGTGCCATCTGAGAGATGAATTAGAGGTGCCCTGTGGCCTGAGCGCCGTTCAAGCCAAGACCCCAATTGGTAGAAACACTTTTATCATTTTGAGGTAAAGAGACTTTAATTTTCATCATAAATATGTTTCACTTGTAGCTTAAAGATACCTGGGTATTGGAGCCGCTGACTGGAGGGAAGGTTTTGTGAAGATTTTCTGTGATTTTCATCTTGCTTTGATTACCTCGAGAATTATTGTCAAGGGAACTTTACAACTGCTTTTTACCTTAGACGGCAGGATAATTGTTTTCAATTCAAAATGCTTAAATCATAAGTATTAGATCCAGGGAATTAAATCCATATTCTGCCTGAAAGCAAAGTGGGTATTCCCTATAATATTTTCAACCTCTTTGAGCACATTTGAGTGTTTTCATTGTTCTTAATATGGCTATGTTATTTTTAACAACAAAAATATATAGTTTAATACAAGGTAGCACTAGATGGGATTTGCTCTTTTAAAATTAAAAGTGTGCTTGAAGAGATTTTGAAGATGAACAATTAAATCCTTAGAGAAGTAAGAGATCCATGATCACACACTGGGGCTTGTTGGGGGTGGGGTGGGAGGGCTGGGGGAGGGATAGCAGGGGGTGGGGCGATTGGGGAGGGATAACATTAGGAGAAATACCTAATGTAGATGGTGGGGGCGAGGAAGGGGGGATGGATGCACAAATCACCATGGCATGTGTATACCTATGTAACAATCCTGCACGATCTGCACATGTACCCCAGAACTTAAAGTATAATAATAATTAAAAAAAAGAGATTCTCATGCCTCAGCCTCCTGTAATCCTGGGATTATAGGTGTGTGGAAAAAAACAAAACAAAACAAAAAAACTATTATAATTTGTAGAACAGCAATGTAAGAATTGCTGGGCCAGGTGCAGTGGCTCACACTTGTAATCCCAACACTTTGGGAAGCCAAGGTGGGCGGAGTTTGAGACCAGCCTGGCCAACATGTCGAAACCCTGTCTCTACTAAAAATACAAAAAATGAGCCGGGCATGGTGGCAGGTGCCTGTAATCCCAGCTATTTGTGCCACTGAAGCACGAGAATCACTCGAACCTGGGAGGTGGAGGTTGCAGTGAGCCGAGATTGCACCACTGAACTCCAGCCTGGGGAAAAAAGAGGGTATTTAGACAGTTCTTCAAGTTCTAATTTAGATTTCTTTTGAATATACATGTTAAGACAACTAAAAATTGATCACAACGTCTGTTTCCTGAAGGATTACGAGGGAATTGTATTAAATGTCTACAAATGTGTTGCCTTGGTTCTCTCTGAAGATACCAGTGCACTTGACCAGAATTCCTTAGTGTACATTAGCATGATGCGCTTAGTTTAACCAGAAGCTCACAGAGTGGGGATGCTTTGTGTGCTAGCTATGGTACAGGGCAGGGAGTCGGCTACTAACTGGATTTTAAGACCAAAAGAAAAGACCTTTTATTTAATTATTTAATTCAGTTACAGTATGTGAATACAAATCTTCGAAAAAACTGATTATAAACACAATTGCATGCATAAAAAATAGTCATAGGATGATTCTCATACTGAGAGTTCACATTTGCATTATATTTATTGTCCACTGACAGTGTACACAGAGACGCCACTGGTCAAGTCCTCAGATATGGGCAGGACTTTAGCCTGGGGATAACAGGAGGATTTGAAAACAAAATGGTAAGTTATCACTTTGCATGTCTCCTTTGGATCAGTCATTTCTCTTGCCCAAAATGGGATCATAACTATCTAATGACGTGGACCGAGAGCTCCAGATACATGGGCTCCATCTCTGACTTCACTGTGGTTTCAGCTTGCAGCTTTTCACAGGCAGATTTGGGCCAAGCCAGTCTTTTCTTTTAACTTCCCAAATTACAAAAAATACACCCCTAAAAGCTAAAGAATAAGAGAGGAAAACCGTTTCTCAGGGTAGCTGGCAAAAAGCAAGTTTATACCACTTCTACCTGTCAGTTAAGTGATTGACTTCATTAATAACCATCTGACACCTGTCAAATGTCACTGATGCTAGCAAGGCATATCACCTGACAACTTTTGAATTTAAACTTCTGATGGTCGGATTTTTGCCCAATATGGGAGTAAGGACAATATAAGATGCTTAAATTTGCATAAGTCAGGGAGCCTTGGGGATTAGGAAGGATGATAGAACCAGACAGATTTGGGTTTGAATTTCAGGCGTGTACCTATGGGATGGGAATTTGGGTAAGTTATTTAATGTTTTTTTGAGCCTGTTTCTCATCTATAAGATGGTGAGTATGAATCTACGTTACAATATGCCAGGCATGCTTCACGTATTTTAACTCTCCACACGTGACTTTGAGGTAGGGTCTGTTTTACCTTTATTTTACTGATGGAGAAACTGAGGTTAAGTGATTTCTGACTCGAGCCATTCCATAAGTAGCAGAGCTAGTACTGTATCACATTTTTTGTTGAAGATTTCTTTGCTGTATGATGTAGCGTTTGTATTATTGGTACCACTAAGAAAACACAGGGCTGCCTGCCGGATGCAGTGGCCCATGCCTGTAATCTAACACAGGGCTGCCTGCCGGATGCAGTGGCCCATGCCTGTAATCTAACACAGGGCTGCCTGCCGGATGCAGTGGCCCATGCCTGTAATCTCAGCACTTTGGGAGGCCACGGCAAGAGGATCACTTGAGGCCAGGAGTTGTAGATCAGCCTGGGCAATACAGTGAGACCCCATCTCAACAAAATTTTTTTTAAAAAATCAGCCAGGTATGGTGGTGTGTTCTTGTAGTCCCAGATACTTGTGAGGCTGAGGTGGGAGGATTGCTTAAACTGGAAGGCAGAAACTAGGGTTTGCACCACTGCACTCCAGCCTGACAGAAAGAGACCCTGTGTCAAAAAAAAAAAAAAAAAAAAAAAAAAGAAGAAACAGTGCTACCAATTAAACTTTGACACCCCACAGATGGTAAGTCGCAGCCTGATAAATATCGACATTGAAAGAAGAGAGTCAATTGCCATTTCTTAACCAAAGATAGCACCATTAACATTTTGGTTTATTTTTATATTCCTATGTATTTTTTTAAAACTTAGATGAATATACAGATAGATTATTCTTTCTAAAATAGCATCTTTAAAGCTTTTTAAAATGACAGTACCATTTAATGAGAGCCTAAGATATAATTGTGTGGCAGTATCATAATTTACCTAACCTTTCTTCTACTTCTGGGCAGTGGGTTTGGCCCAAGATGTCTCTCTCCTATGTAAAGTTCCAGCGTGCATTTGTGTATAAATGCTCGAAGCTTCCCCTCTCAAACTCCAAATTAGGGATTCCACCTTTGGGATAGATTTTTGGGCATAGAATTCCTGAGTCAAAGAATACGAACACATTGAAAAGTATTGATACGTATAAAGAGTTCTTTTTGTAATGGGCTGTACCAATTTGCACTCTCAGCAACAATAAATAAGAATAATTATCTACTGCTTCTTTGATTGTATTAAATATCACAATTTAAAACTTTGCTTATTTGATAAGCAAACAAAATGGAAAGAAAAAAGTGATATGTAAATGTTGTAGTGCTTATAATTTCTTCTACATTTTAAGTTTGTTCTCTTTCTTATCTCTTTCTTTCTCTCTCGATTTTTTTTTTTTTCATTTCTCCCTCCCTCTCCTCTCTCCTGCAAATCATCTCGTTTTTTTACCTTTGTATTGATTTGGGTTTATATGCCGCCGATGACTAAGTTTTGTCATGCGTGTTGCTATTATTTCCATTTGCTGCTTGGCTTTTAAGTTGTAGTTGCCCTAATGTTATATTCTTGAGTAAAACGTATCAGTGGTTTTTTTTGTAATTCCTTCCATCGCTTTTAAAGACTGCTTCAGAGATCTGATAAAAAGAAAAACTTGAATTAGCTTCTAGATGTTTACAATTTGACTTTTGTTTAAATTTATTGTTGAATCCACTTGGGATTTATTTTGATAAAGGGTTTTATGTGAACATCTCATTTTTTGGCTGGGCGTGGTGGCTCACGCCTGTAATCCAAGCACTTTGGAGGCCAAGGCAGGCGGATCACCTGAGGTTGGGAGTTCAAGACCAGCCTGACCAACTTAGTGAAACCCCCTCTTTATTAAAAAAAAAAAAAGAATGTCTTATTTTTTCCCAGATGACTAGTCAGTTATATCTGTTATCTCTTGAATAATTATTCCTTTCTCTGCAGATGCATGGCATTTCCCTTAGCGTGTATACCACCTACTGCTGAGCTTTCTATTTTGATCCATTAAACTCTGGTTGTCTTGTTCTTCTTCTTTTTTTTGAGACAGTGTCTCACTCTGTCGCTTAGGCTGGAGTGCAGTGTCACAAACATGGCTCACTGCAGCCTCCACCTCCCCGGCTCAAGCAATCCTCCTGCCTCAGTCTCCTGAGTAGCGGGGACCACAGGTGCACCCCACTACGCCTGGCTAAATTTTGATTTTGTTTTGTTTTGTAGAGACAGGGTTTGGCCATGTTGGCCAGGCTGGTCTTGAACTCTTGAGTTCAAGTGATCCCCTTGCCTCTGCCTCCCAAAGTGCTGGGATTGCAGGCATGAGCCACTGCGCCCAGCCCAGTTATCTATTTTTATTCTAGGACTATAGTGTCTTAATTATTAGAGATTTATGATAGGATTCATAGCTCTTTGACTTGAGGGCTCATAGGGCTTGTTGCCTCTCATTACACTTCTTTGTCTTAATTACGTTAGGAATTAATTTCTCAGTTAAATATAATGGTCATTTTTTCCAAGTCCCTCTGCCCCTGTGGGGAAAAGATTACTTGTTGTTATATTTTGATTGGCATTGTAACATTAACTAAATTCACATATTTAGTAGCTTTACCATATTTATTCTTCTGAGGTGTCTCTCTATTCTCTCAGCAAAATTTTATATCGCCCAGTAAGATTTTGTGGTTTTCTTTACATGTATTTGAGAACAATTTTGTTAAGGGTTTTTCCTTGGTATTTTGTATTTTCAGATGCTATTGTAGAGAGGTCTTCTTGATAGAATAAAGATAGAACATTTGATAGTATAAAGAATAATTTCTCTTATATAAGAAGGCTATTGATTTTTATATTCACCTCTGATGAATCCACTTACTCATTAATTCTATAGCCTTTTCAGTTGATTCTCTTATGTTTTCTGGACAGACAGTGATTTAATCTTCAAATGATGACATTTTCTCTCTTCTCCCATTCTCAGACCTCTAATTTTGGTTTCTTGTCTTTGAATTAGCAAGCACTTCTGGGGCATTCATGGAAGCGTTGATGTAACAGTGGCCTACTGGGTTAGTTCCTGATTTTATTATTGTTTTACTTTAGGTGAACAAAGCAGTTTGTGGTTTGAGATAGATATTATTTACCTATTTTTTTTTTGAAGAGTCAGAGGCTCGCTCTGTTGCCCAGGCTGGAGTGCAGTTGAGATCTTGACTCTCTGTAGCCTCTGCCTCTGCCTCCCAGGTTCAAGCAATTCTCATGCCTCAGCCTCCCACATAGCTGGGATTACAGTCACCCGCCACCACACCTGGCTAATTTTTGTATTTTTAGTAGAGACAGCGTTTCACCATATTTTCTAGACCGATCTTGAATTCCTGGCCTCAAGTGATCCTCCTGCCTCGGCCTCCCAAAGTGCTGGGATTACAGGCATGAGCCACTGCACCTGGCCTTATTCACCTTTTTAAGTTCCGGTTTTCATGTTGCTCTGAAAGGCACCATCATCCAGAACCAGTGGTGAATCTGGCTTGGGCCCATCTTCCTTTCCCACTCACGTCCAGCTGATTACCAGGTCCCGTCTTCTGTTCCTAGGCACTGTTCTCCCTTCACACTGCTCTTTAGCCTGTTTCTCATGCCGCGTGCAGCCCCTCAGCAGCCCGGGCCCCCGCTGTTTTTCCCTGTTAGTCTGTCCTGACTTCAGACCATACTAGATGGGGTACTGCCAGGTTGATTTTATTTTTATTTTTATTTTTAAATTTAATTATTTTTCAGGTCGATCTTTTACAAACACAGGTCTAGTCACTTCTCATCCTCACTGGAGTCAGCAGCAGCTCCCCGTTGCCCTTTGAATGAAGTTCTGGCTGTTTGCTGTGGCATCTGAAGCCCTCTATAATAAACCCTCCCCCTCTATGTGCTCACCCCCTCTGGCTTTGCAGCCTCCTCCGCAGAGCCACTTTTGATCCCCCAGGAAAGCACTGTGCTCCTACCTCTGCCTCCCCCAGCTCATCGTGAGTCTGCTGGACCTCCCTCACGAGGCAGGTGTATGTAGGTGCTTCCGGTTTCCGTGCTCCACCACCTCTTCTGCTAAGTGGAGAACCTCTTGAGGACAGTAACATCTCTGCCTTTGCCCTAGTGCTCACAGCACAGCCTTGCATGGGAAAGGTGCTTATTGGAAACCTGTCAAAATATGCAGAAATTACCTCCACACTCAGGGTGGAGCTGAACCAGCGAAGAACTAACAAGGAACTAACATTGTGGACTTTTCAGGAGGATGGGGGTAGCTTCTTGGCAAGATGACAGGCAGCCAGATAGCCAACATAATTTTCTAGCATGGACATCAATTCCAGAGGGGTGTGGGTCACCTTGGAGGCTCACAAATGAATATCAGCTGTGCGGATATTGACTTGAAGAATAATTCATTTCATGCGATGAGTTTAATGCAACATCATTTATAATACATAAAATATTAGTCCATCGCTGGGCATGGTCATTCATACCTGTAAACCCAGCACTTTGGGAGGCCAAGGTGGGAGGATTGCTTGAGCCCAGGAGTTCAAGACCAGCTTGGGAAACAATGGGATCCTGTCTCTACAAAAAATAAAAAACATTAGCTGGGCATGGCAGTGTGCACATGCAGTCCCAGCTACTTGGGAGGCAGGAGGATCGCTTGAGCCCAGGAGGAGTTGGAGGCTGCAGTGAACCGTGATTGCCACTGTGCTCCAGCCTGGGCAACAAAACGAGACCCTGTCTCAAAACGAGACAAAAAAAAACCATTAATCCAGTTCCTGTACCCTGAAAGGGGAACAGGGGACAGGAAGTAGGAAGGAGAGAGGAAGATTGAGTTTGGTATTCAGAGGAAGCAAAAGTAGTTGGAGATGTGTGTGTGTGTGTGTGTGTGTGTGTGTGTGTGTGTGTAATTGTGTGTATGTATGTGTGTGATTGTGATTGTGTGTGCGTGATTGTGTATGTGTGTGATTATAAGAGTGTGTGATTGTGTGTATGTGATTGTGTATGGTGTGATTGTGTGTGTATGTGTGTGTGTGTGATTGTGAATTTGTGTGATTGTGTATGTATGATTGTGTTTGTGTGTATGTGTGTGATTGTGATTGTGTGATTGTGTATGTGTGTGATTGTGAGTGTGTGATTGTGTGTGATTGTGCATATGTGATTGTGTATGGTGTGATTGTGTGTGTATGTGTGTGTGATTGTGTATGTGTGATTGTGTTTGTGTGTATGTGTGTGATTGTATGTGTATGTGTGTGTGATTGTGATCATGTGTGTATGTGTGATTGTGTGTATGTGTGTGATCATTGTATGTGTGTGAGAATGTGTGATCGTGTGTGTGTGATTGTGTGTGTGTGTGTGTGCGCACCAGATGGCATTTCTAAGGTAGAGGAAAATTGTGCTTTCTCATACGATCAGTAGAAACAGCGTTTTTGAGAACTGCTTTGAATGTGCTTGCCATCCAGCCAGTCAGTTGCTTCTTTATTCCCCAGCTTTTCACAGAGCTCTGACGTAGTGCATCTGCTTGCTGTCATTTTCAGTTGTATTTATCAAGTGACCACAGGACCCTCCTGAGATCGTCTAAGAGGTCTTGGCTCCAGGAAGTGTACCTAACAGATGAGGTCTCCCACATGAATTGCTGGCAGGCTGCCTTCCCTGACCCCCAGCTACGCCTGGAATATGAAGGCTTCCCCGTCCCGGTGAGCACAGCGTTGGGAAGACATGGGTGCCTGTGCTATGAGGCGGATGCCGTTTACTGCTGTTTAGAAAACACAGACTGAGAGCCCAATGCCTTAAGACTTTCTCCCTCCTTTCACTCTTTTCATTCCCCCCATTTATAACACGAGTTTGGAAGGTACTAATTTACCCCATGGCAGCATCCTGCGTTAGAGTTTCTCAACTGTGGCTGCACAGTAGAATCACCTCAGGAGCTTTCTGAGAAATACTGAGGCCCTGGCCCTGCGCCTGACATCAGGTTAAGAACCACTGATGTGTGATCCTGAGGGTGTGACACTGCTTCCTGTGCACTGTTTTCGCTAAGACCTCTGCTAAATACTAATTTTTAAGGAGTTTGAGGGCAGGTGTGGTGGCTCAGGCCTACAATCCCAGCACTTTGGGAGGCTAAGGCGGGTGGGTCTCTTGAGGCCAGGAGTTCAAGACCAGCCTGGGCAACTCGGCAAAATTCCTGTCTCTACAAAAAATACAAAAATTAGCTGGGTGTAGTGGCACACACCTGTAATCCAAGCTACTCAGGTGGCTGAGGCACAAGAATCGCTTCCACCCAGGAGATGGAGGTTGCAGTGAGCCAAGATTGTACCATTGCACTCCAGGGTGACAGAGGGAGACTCTGTCTCTACATTAATAAAGAAGGAAATATTAGCCAGGTGTGTTGGTGAGTGCTGTAGTCCTAGCCGCTTGAGAGGCTGAGGTGGGAGGATCACCTGGGCCTGGGAGGCCGAGGCTGCTGTGAGCTGTGATCATGCCATTGCACTCCAGCCTGATCAACAGTGAGACCCCGTCTCAAACAAACAAAGAGTTGAGGGAGTCTTGGAGAAGGAGACAGCAGAGTAGCCACACAGTCCACGCAGTGGTCCTGCAGGACAGCATCATTCTCTCTGTCACCGTGGGACATTTTCTCTTGATGCTGGGACCCGTGGGACTGGAGCCTGAGGCATGGTTCTGACGGGAAGGTGGGGGCTTTTGTGGGCACGGAGTAGTAGACCTCCCTATTCCAAGGGCCAGAGGCTTTCCTGCTTACAAGGCATCCAGCAGACAGAATGAAGACGTGTTGGCAGCCACTGCGTTGAGTATGGAATTAGCAGGCGTTGCCAGTGTTCGTTTGCCACTGGCCAGGAAGTGCCCACAGTTGCAGGCCACTGAGTCCACCTGACGCAGCATGCCTGTCCTCCACCTCTGCCAGGGGAACCCTGACTTCACAGGGTCTTTCCTCCAAGCATGGAGGACATGTATATTATCTACAATGAAACAGGCTTTACAAATTCTTCTCCAGCTGTCTTCTGCTGAGCTTTGCTCTTCTGAGAATTGCCTTCTAGTTCCACAATTTAAACTGTCAGTGCCTCAGTTTCCCCATCTAAATTCGGGGTGTTCATAGTACCTACCTTGTGAGGTTTTGTGCGGACTAAATGGTTAGTATATTTTAGAGTGCTAATTAGAAACGTGCCTGGCTGATAGAAGACACCCACAAGTGTTTCTTGCTGTCATGACTGTTGTCGTTGTATGCTATTGTCGCTGTTTGTGTTAGAGGTGAACGGAGCAGTCAGCGTTCCAGGCACCAGGAGTTCTTTTTGTTTTTCTTTGAGACAGAGTCTTACTTTGTCGCCAGGCGCCAGGCTGGAGTGCAGTGGCACAATCTCAGCTCACTGCAACCTCCGCCTTCCGGGTTCGAGCAATTCTCCTGCCTCAGCCTCCTGAGTATCTGGGACTACAGGCACACGCCACCTCACCCAGCTATTTTTTGTATTTTCTATTTTTTTGAGAAGAAGTTTCACTCTTGTTGCCCAGGATGGAGTGCAGTGGCACGATCTCGGCTCACCGCAACCTCCGCCTCCTGGGTTCAGGCAATTCTCCCACCTCAGCCTCCCGAGTTGCTGGGTCTACAGGCGTGCGCCACCATGCCCAGCTAATTGTTGTATTTTTAGTAGAGACGGGGTTTCACCATGTTGACCAGGATGGTCTCAATCTTTTGACCTCGTGATGCACCCGCCTCAGCCTCCCAAAGTGCTGGGATTACAGGCGTGAGCCACTGTACCCAGCCTAATTTTTGTATTTTTAGTAGAGACAGGGCTTCACCATTTTGGCCAGGATGGTCTGGATCTCTTGACCTCGTGATCCACCTGCCTTGGCCTCCCAAAGTGCTGGGATTACAGGCTTGAGCCACCGTGCCCAGCCGAGTTCTTTTCTCCATTACTAATTCACCTTATGGCTTGAGGAAAGTCTCCCTGAGCCTCCCTGAGGCATGGTTACACATCTGCAAATGGGGAACACCAAACCGATCTGAGCTCCCTTGCACATGTCAATGACCTCTGGCTAGAGAGACCTCCAGGAACAACTGTGCTTTAACAGGCTGGGTAGATTACTTGTTGCAGTGAGGGAGAACACACACCGTGAGGAAGCGTGTAAGAGGGTGTTAGGATGCTTACAGAATTTGGGCCTTGGTTGGCCGCTGTCGGAGAGAATCCCAGGAAGTGAGGCTTTGCTCTGGATTGGATGCTGTCAGGAAGTGGAGGGTAATTCTCTGATCGGTTATCTCAATAAATCTTATCTCTAGGGAGGACCAGACTGGAGTGAGGTTAAAACAGTGGTTAGTAAAGGAGCAGCAGTCACTCATATTAGCTGGGAGAGGCGGGTGTTTGCTATTTTGTGGCTTAGTCAACGTTTGTGTTTTGTGTGGGTTCAGATATGATTATAGAGTGATCTTATTTTTGTTTTGACCCCTCATGATCACAGAGTGGCCTTGTCTGATGTGGACATTCTGTGAAGCTGATTCTGCTCCCAGGAGAACACTGAGGTCTCCTTGTGTGTGCCAGGCCACCCCCTGGCTGGCAGGGCTGCTTTTCCTTTCTTACACAGCTTTTAATGTACATGAGTCAGGATTTTGAAATAATATATATTTTTCCTGATTATAAACATATGTTCACTTATGAAAAGTCAGGAAAGCACAAAAATAATATGAAAGTTACCAGTAGTTCCATTTTCCAGAGAAGCCATTGCTCATTTCTTTTTACAAGGTAGGACATCATGAAGATACTTCTTTTTTTTCTGTTGAATGACACCATTGACTCTATCTTGTGTGTCAAAGATCTTCTCCAATATAACGTTGAGTGATTATTTCATTATACAGTTATCTACAATAATATATTTAATTTATTCATTATGGTTTGGCTTCTAGATTTTTCTGTGCCTGTGTGTATGTAAATATATCTACAGTCATGTGCCATTCAACGATGGGGATACATTCTGAGAAATGCATTAGACGGTCGTGGTCACCCTGGCAATGATTTTGTCGTTGTGTGGACGTTGTGAAAGGAAAAATCAGTCTTGGGACCTAAACTCACTCCGTCAAAGAAAAAGTCAGGCTGGGAACGGGGTCACGCAAAGCGGCCTCCCATTTTGCTCTTAAGTAGGATAGCTACAAAGATTTTTTTAAAGCTACATATATCCGTCACAATTTTCCCACAAGGAAATTCCTTGTGAGCCCCAAGATCTTTACCCTAAAGCGGTGATGTGGACTGTCACCCTGACCATGTAAAGTGATAGCTTATCTTCACAGTAGGGGACAAAGGACAGAACTAAAAAGCCATCCGTCCGCTCACTCAAGACAAAGGCATATATGAACGTTCCCTCCGCCCCATGTTTATTTCACCTTATGTGAAAAGGCAGGTTCACTGCGCACAAGATGAATGAGTAAGTGACTGTTCTTCCACGGCCCTCTCATGTAAAATGTGCGTTTGGTGAACACTGACAGAAAACTCAAAAGAACGCAACTGCTTGCCTCCTTTATTTACCCTCCTTTTTTTCGTCATTATTGTTTTTTCTTTCTTCCTCGTTCCCCCAGTACCCACTCTTTTCCCTTTAAATATTCAGGTCCCTAGGCCCTCTTCAGGAAAAAGCATGGACCAAAGGTTTTTCCTGTTGGTGTGTGTTCTTTTTGCTAGGTGTGTCCTTGACCTCGGCAAATAAACCTCTCACAATGACTGAGACTTGCCTCAACAATTTTATTTGACTTACACATCATAAATGTACTTACACAAACCTAGATGGCGTAGCCTATGACACACCTAGGCCACTAGTGTTCCTGCACTGCAAACCTGTGCACCGTGCTACTCTACTGAATGCTACAGGTAACTGTAACACACTGCTAAGTGTTTGTGCATCTAAACACAGAAAAGGCACAGTAAAAACAGGGTCTTATGGTCATATATGTGGTTGCATAGGCGGCCCTTTGCTAACTGAAATGTGGTGGCATGTGACTGTGAATATATATAATGTTGTTCTAAATTGAAATACATGTATGATTCCAAATTTTTGCTTTTAGGAAAGTAGAGGCCTTTATTTAGAATGCCAGTAACACATTGTCTTTATCTGTTATAGGCCAATGCTAAAATTCTCATCCACCACTGTCACACAAATCGGGGACTCGCAGCCCACCGGCATCTTTTCTTAAGGTATTGTATTTCAGTGTACCACAGAACGCTGTGACTGGGGCTGGGGCTATGAATATAAGCAAAGAAGCTCAATTGACAGTGTATGGCTGCACATGCAAAAAACGTCCTTTGCTGACTGCCACATAGATCTTTGACAGGGTGAAAAGTCCTGTCAGAGTCCCTTCTTTTTTTCTTTTTTTGAGATGGAGTCTCACTCTGTCACCCACGCTGAAGTGCAGGGGCACAATCTCAGCTCACTGCAACTTTTGCAGCCAGATGCAAGCGATTCTCCTGCCTCAGCCTCCTGAGTACCTGGGGTTACAGGCGCCTGCTGCTACGCCCAGTTAATTTCTGTATTTTCAGTAGAGATGAGGCTGATCTCAAACTCCTCCTGACCTCAGGTGATCCTCCTGCCTTGGCCTCCCAAAGTGCTGGGATTACAGGTGTGAGCCACCGTGCCCAGCCAAGCCCCTTCTTTTATACAAGTCCTTCCCCTACGAGAGGACTTTAGCAATAATGGGATCCTACTGGCCCAATCCTTGCCCAAATAGGGTGCAACCTCCCTGCAAACATGCTCCGTTTTAGAGATACCCTAGGGCTTTATCTAGCAATCTACTTCTTAAGGTGCTTTTGAGATGAAATTATTAATAACAGCTTACTGAGAGTGGTCACTCAATTTCAAACCACAACTGATTCTCTCTTGCTCCAGCACCTATTTTGGAAAGGAGGCTGAGGTTGTAGCTCACACGTACCTGGATTCACACAGAGTTGAAAAACCAAGTAACCACTGGATGTTGGTTACTGGGAATCCCAGGGATGCCTCGTCCACCATGTCGGATCTGCCCAAACTGCCGGCAGAGGACACTCGAGCCGTGGAGCAGGCCATGGGCCTTGACACGCAGTAACGCGCCAGGTACATGCATGTTTTCTCTGGTTCTGCTCTCATCAAATGTAGCTTTAAAAGAAATTAACGACCTTGGTCACGCCTCAAGCTACTTTTGAATCAGATATGGGACTCCCTGAGCACTATATTAAAATAAAGATTACATTAAGATTATTGAATTTGCGTGGGAGTCTAGGCCTAGAAAAAAAACAGCTCTGGAGAATAAATAGAATAAATAGTATTTGAAAGTGACTCACAATGGCCCTTGGTTGATAAACAAATTCTGAAGAACTCAGCTTCCTCTACTATACCCTTCATTGTCTACAAGGACAGTGCGTTGCTTTTTAAAGTCATGTCTATGTGATAAAGCTATTGGAACTGTAGTGAATTGTTGGCACCACAGTTTCCCTCTTGAATGCACTGAAACAGAAAAAGCTGACAGCTGTGAGCTGTGGCCCTACCTTGGAATTGAACATTTCTGCCTTTGTAAAACATCCTGTTTTTGTTTCTACCTGTGGCTTTCGAGGTCCGGACCTCCACCTGGTCTGCAACCTATTACGTTGTCATGATCTTTAAACTGCAGAATCTCTGCCTTGTCTTTGAAACCGGCACCTTAGTTGTGACACTCATGTGACTAGAAAGTTCCTGACAAAATAAGTATGTATCCTTCCGTTTATTTGTTCATCCGTTCATTCTTCTCTGAGTGCCCGTGATATGTAGAGTATTACACGGGGATGGAGGGTTTCACGGCCTTGTAGATACAGGTAGACTGTTAGGCTGGTTCACAAATACGTATCCTGTTTTAAATAGATGCAGTTCCAGGCAATGCAGATTGACCCTCTTCCAGAAGGCAGGCGTTTTCCATCAAGTACTGCAGGATTTAGGGCAGTGGTTCCAGTTTGGCTGTGCATTGCCTTCATTCTGGGAACTGTAACAGTGACGGATTCCTGGTCTGAGCTCAGAAATTGTGATTGAGTAGTCTAGGGTACTGCCTGGGCATTGGGCTTTGTCAGTGTTCTTCATATGGGTCCCGTGAGCAGCCACAGTGGAGACCCACTATGTTAGGAGGTGGAGGAGGAAGCAGTGGTCCCGTAGGGTGGTCAGGGGAGGCTTTCCTCAGCAAGTCTCACTCTGGCTGCACCATAGAATCTCCGGAAGAATACTGAAAAAGCCCAAGGCCCAGGCTGCACTCTGGACTGTTCAATCGGAATTTCTGGAGTGGGACGTTAAAATAATACAGATGCTTGAGCCCACCCCAGAGCTTCTTATTTGATATGGCGTGAAACTCAGGTGTTAGTATTTTTTAAAACTCACTAATTTATTTTATTTAAATTTAATTTTATTAAAAAATTTTAAAACATTTTTTTGTTTTAACTTTTTGTGGGTACATAGTAGGTGTATATATTATGCGGTTCATGAGATGTTTTGATACAGGCATGCAATGTGAAATAAGCACGTCATGGAGAGTGGGGTATCCGTTCCCTCAAGCATTTATTCTGTGTGTTACAAATAATCCAATCACACTCTTTTAGTTATTTTTACATGTACAATTAAGTTATTATTGATTGTAGTCACCTGTTGTGCTATCAAATAATAGGGCTTATTCGTTCTTTGTAACTATTTTTTGTGTGTCCATTAGCCAACCCCACCTCCCTCTCAGGCCCCCATGCCCTTTCCAGCCAGCGGTAACCATAGTTCAACTCTCTGTGTACATGAGTGCAATTGTTTTGATTTTTAGATCCTACAACCACCAATAAGTGACAACATGTGATGTAAAAACTTGCTAATTTATTTTAGTGTGCAGCCTGGGTTGAGAACCTCTGGCTTAGCTGAGAGCAGAGTTATGTCTACCTGTGTGTCTCCAAGGGGTGAAACCAGGTGGATTTGGGCTCCAGCTGGTGAAAGACATTGTTTTTTTTTCTTTTTTTTTTGGAGACTGTCTTGCTCTGTCGCCCAGGCTGGAGTGCAGTGGCCCAATCTCAGCTCACTGCAACCTCTGACACCCAGGTTCAAGCAATTCTCCTGCATCAGCCTCCTGAGTAGCTGGGATTACAGGCGTGCGCCACCACACCTGGATAATTTTTGTATTTTTGGTACAGATGGGGTTTCACCATGTTGGTCAGGCTGGTCTCGAACTTCTCACCTCGTGATCTGCCTGCCTCGGCCTCCCAAAGTGCTGGGATTACAGGTATGAGCCACTGCGCCAACGGGAAAGACATTCTGTAACAGTGTGAGCCACCTGCAAGCATCTAAACCAATTTCAGTGCATTCTTGCTCCTACCGTAAGATATCCATGGAGTGCTTCAGGCAACATCAGGACTCTTGATCCTTTCCTGAGTGATCCTCCGATGGCTTCTTGACTGAACACTGAGAGGTTTCCACCAGGTGGAAAGTCTTGACTGTGAGTTGTCCAGGTTCTTGGCATGTTCAACAAAGAACTGAGCAAAGTGCACAAACAGAGCAATACAAAATACACAAAGCAACAAAAGAATGAAGCAATGCCAAAAGCGATAAAAGCACAGATTTATTTAAGTGAAAGTACACTCTATGGAGTGGAAGCATGCTTGGGCAAGAGGCTAAAGAGTCCCAGTTACAATGTTTTTTAATTAAGCTAGAAGATTTTGGTAACACCCCTAGGTGCCCTTTGGAGGCCTCCGATTGGTTGCACCTTGTGAAGAACTGGCTTACCACCAATCAGAGGCTGAAGTGGAGACTTGGCCCATGACCAATCAGGGGCTGAAGTGGAGACTCCGCCTATAGCCAATTAGAAACTGAAGTAGAAACTTCTGTCTTGTTGTCACAGGCATGAGAATGTGGCCTATATGCTGTCTGATCTTGCCTAGGACCAAGGACTGGTGCCATATCAAGGGCTCAGTGTTGGTCTCTGCTGCTGGCAAATGGGGCACTCCGCCGTGTCCATAGCCAGGTCAGCCTTGGTGAGTGGAAGTCCATGTTGCTGAGCCAATGCCATAACCCTTGGTTACTCTAATTCCCTATTCTGTCTCAGTCTTTGTGCCACCAGGAGTTCATGCCACTGACCAAGTTTGCACTCAGGTAATCACCACCTGACTACAGTGACTCCTGGGGGCGTGAGTGCCACCTGGCTGGCGGTGATTGTGAAGCACTTCATTTTAATGTACACAGAGATGTTAAAATATGAAAAAGTCTGTACCTCTCAGAGTAGATGAAAGACAAGAAATAACTAGAAAGTGAGCACTTCTATGCATCACCTTGTGTTATTTACAAATCAGTGCTTCTGCCTTGGGTCTGTTGTGTACCTCAAAATTATAAGGACCTTTTTATACTCATTTTCTTATTTAACTTTCACCACTCTCTGGGATCAGACCAGGTCTTGTTCTTTGCTGTTTACCTCCATTTCCTGGAAAATATCTGTTAGGTGAATGAAAGAATGAATGAATGAATCAGTCAATCAGTCAATCAACAAATGAATGAATCCATAACTTTTACAGAGGAGCCAGGCTTAGCGATTTGTTCGGGGACACAGCTCCTAAACAGCAGAACTGGGGCAGGACCAAGTTAGGATTTTCTATCCCTTCTTCTGGATAAGAGTCTTCTAATCTCAGCACTCTTCACTATTTTTTTTTTTGATCCGGATAATTCTTTATTGTGGTTGCTGTCCTGTGCATTATGAGATGTTCGGCAGCATCTCTGTTCTCTGCCCACTAGATGAAGTAGCACCTTTCCACTCATGACAATAAAAAGTGTCTCTAGACATTGCTAAAGGTCCCTGGGAGCACTCTGCTATTTGACGACCAATGGTCTAGACCTACTTTAGCTGTTTTTTATTTGCCATTTATAAAGGATGTTGTAAAGTGGCTATTTCTCTCCCTCTCTCTCTCTCTCTCTCTCTCTCTCTCTTTCTCTCTCTCCCCCCGCTTCCTTCTTTTCTTCTTTCCTTTTTCTATTCCTAGAATATGTGGTGTCTAACACAGCTTCCGGGTATATTGGTAGTTTGCTTTTAGCTTCCGAGCTGGACTTTGAACGTAGAATTCTGGCAGGTGGAGACTGGCTGTCCAGGACGCAGCGCTGCACGGACCTGTGTACAGTGACTTTGACACACAGCACCTCTGCAGCAACCTCTAGTGCGGGGCAAAAGATGCTCATTGAGGTGTGAAGCGTTTAGGACGCTGTGTATATCATTATTTCATCCTTGAAATGAATGAATGTGTCTGTGTGTTATACTATCCCAAAAAGTTTTTCTCATTTTTTTACCTTTAAAAAATTTCAATCTTTTTATTTTTACACTTCAGCCTGACAAAATATTAGGTTTTTTTCTTTTTTTGAGACAAAACGTTAGTTTTTAAATATACATAACATTTTAGCTTAATGGGCGTGAGTAAAATTTATTAATAGAGTTACATATAAACATGTGTGTGTAGCGATGCCCAAAGGGACCGCTTATTGGGAAGGGTACACAATCACAAATTGTGGAGAGGATCCTGTGTGCTGTGTGCGGTCATTCATTGTACAGAAAATGCCGCTGAGTCACTGTGGCTGCAACGAAGCCCGCACGGCTTTGTCCTGAGTCATGGACAATAGGCTCCTCGCAGCTCTAAGGTTCACTTTCTTTCAATTGAACAAAAGTTTATGAATTATTTGACAGTGAGGAACAAGGTAAGGACCCTGCAAATGGAAGAGAGCGGGAAGAGGAGACTGTCTGTGTGATTACGCACAGGGCGTGCTGAGATCCCCGTGAAAGGACCACATTACTTATAGCTGGAGGCTGACGAAGCCTGCCTTCAGATGACACGTGAGCTACAGAGGACACATACGGGGAAGAGCATTCCAGGCAAAGGAGACTGCATTTGCAAAGGGCCAGCACCTCTCCTGGGGAGAAGTGGGGACTGGCAAGAAACGTTCAAAATCGGCTGTCTGCTGGTACACTCGGCATGGCCATACTGACTTAAAATGCGATAATGCCTCCATCTCGGTTGGAAAACAGCTACTTGACTCAAGCCCCTGAAGTGCCCCCTGTAACCCTGGCACCTCCCTGGGGACCCTTGGATTTC